AGCAGATCCGGCGAGTGGTGGCCACAGTGCATCGATGGGCGAGGGCAGAGCCCCAGCGGCGCTTCTCGGTGCCAGTAGATCCGACGAGTGGCGGCGCGGGGCGTCGATGGGCTCGTTGGGCCTCATGGATGGGCTTGCCAGGCTCATCGATGTTTTTTTTAATTTTTTTAATATGTTAAACAAGGCGGGCTGCTTAGGTTGACCTCCTCCGTTAATGGGCATTAACCGAGGCGGTTGCCTTATGCCGTCCGTCTCGATTAATCGATTACCGAGGCGGTTGGCTTGCCCGCCTCAGTTAATTATTTTTGCCCGCCTCGTTTAAGTTTTCTACAGTAGTGGTAGTGGCCTTGGCGTGGCCTCAGCACGAGCGGGCCACAACACGAAGGCCTGAGCGGCCCTCGACACGCAGGCGCAACAACGCCGACGGCCCTGGTCACAGGTGGACCAGCGCGGCTTGGCCGGCACGAGTGGCTCCCCGGCGGATCTGGCTCCCCCTCTCCCAGTCATGCGGGCAATGCCTCCTTGCCGCATCACGCAACCGCCGCCTACAAGCGCCGCCGTGTCGCTGCCTCCGGTGAACTCCACACACCGACAAGCCTCTATTCTCCCAAGTAGCAAGGAAATGTTGCGCTGCGCTGAAAGCGCATGTTTCAAGCGTATGTTTTGAAGTGTTTATAATGTTTCATAGGTATGTTGCAAGTGTTTCATATGGATGTTGCAAAAATAGATCGGGATGTTGCACATGTTACATATGTTGCAAGCGTTTGTTCAAAATGTTTCATCTGTCTTAAGACGTATGTTGCAAGCGTTTTGATCTGGATGTTGCATATGTTTTACACATATATTGCAAAAGTATTTTCCAAATATTTCATCTGTTTCAGTGTTTTGTTACAGCATGTGTTTTCATGTTGCAAGTTGCAAGTGTTTTATCTGGATGGTGCATATGTTGTAGTGGCTATACACGTATGTTGCAAGTGTATGTTCCAAATATTTCAGCTGTTTCAGATCTACGTTGCAAGTGTTTTATTTAGATGTTGGATAAGTTGCAGGGGCTATACACATATGTTGCAAGCTTATGTTCTAAATATTTCACATGTTTGAGACATATTTCGTAGAAAATACTTCATGTAGCAATGGTTTAAGCAGGGGCAGGCGGAGGCGGTCGGGCGGTCACCACATGCATGTGCAGCAACATGGGCGCAGCACCAGCATGCAAACAGCAGGCACAGGCGCACAACAACATGTGAGCAGTAGCACGCAAGCAGCATGAGAGCAGCGGCAGGCGGGCATGTTTAGCAGCAGGTGGGCGCGCAGCAGCGGGCGCGGGCCGGCAGGCGCAGCAGCAGGCCGAGCCCCGCCCAAACCATAATCGTTCCATGATATATACAGCGGCGGGCCTCATAGTATTCAAGTGTACTCAACTGAATACCCAAATTTTATGGCGCCCTGGTGGACTCAGGAGTCGAGACTGGCGACAGACCAGCATGGGCGATACAACGTGACCGCGTGTGCGACTGCGAGGCGGCGACACCACGTGCATGGGCTGCACCCGCACAACGCAAGGCGGCAACTGGCAAGGGCGCAACGTTGCAGCAGCGCCCGCACCGTGCAGCTAGGCAATCACAGCGCCGGCCACCAACAACCAGCACCGCAACATAACTCAACACCTGTGCGGGGCCGGGGAGCTTCTGAATTGACTTATTGCTGATTAAAGGCCTTTTTGGTTGGTGTGTAGTTTGCCATGCCTGATTGTCAAAGAAAGTATGACGAGCAACATCGAAACCACACTTATGATAAAGTTTGACATAAAAACGAGTCTAGCATACGTGGGACAAGGTACTAAGATGTCATATCATACTTGTGGCAGTAAACCAAACAGCTACCGAAAAAACTATGGTACAACTAACTTTTGGCGTGGCAAGCTATGGTCACCAACCAAACAGACTTAAGTCTTGACATTTCTGCCTTCTAGATTGGGTCACTTGTCTAGGTATTCCAAATTATAAGTTATTCAAACTTTTTTGGAGGATCAAAGCATCTTAAATTTGACCAAAATTATAAAGAGAATTACAAAGATTTATAACAATATAGTATAAAATTATAATTAATGAAGAATCTTATTATACTTATTCGGTATCATATAATGATACTCATTTGATATCATAAAATATTATTATTTAATTATATAAATTTTGTCAAACATGAAATGCTTTGTCTCTTTAAAAATGTTGAAGTAAACTTTTAATTAAAGTATGGACGGAGTATTAATAAGTCGTTCAGCTCGTCATGGCCTCGACGACAGCACGAGCGATTTGGCTGGAGCCGACCTTTGCGGCCACCGAACGATTCTGGGTTGGACGGGCAGGGCCACACACTACAAAAAAAAAAAAAAAATGAAAAGGAAAATCAAACTGATGGCCATGGAGAGGAAGGGAGGAAAAAAGATTTCACAATTGCAGTATAATATCTCAAACTAATTAGTGCGTTAAAAATAATGAGATATAAGTGTATGAAAACTATTGCAAAAATTCAAACAACACTTATCTCTAAGAAAAACAATTGAAAAGGAAAATTGAACTGGTAAAAAAATCTGTAGCAAATCTTTAATGATATATTTCATTTTTAATCACCAGTACATTATTCGACATACATTGAGTCACTGTCTATGATGCATAACAAGCTGAACATATGTTCAATTCATCACAAAATGAATCTAAAAAAAAAATCATCACGAAATGAATAACGAAGTGAAAGATTGTATTTAACACTTGCAGGCTGCGAACAGACAGAGCCCAACAACCAGGAACGGAGCATAGAAGGTATGAGTTCGACACTCGGTTAGCCCATAAACTTTAAGAGGAGAAGACTAGCTGGTATTGGCCTTTTTGCTCTGGGGACAGTCGATCAAGAGGACGAGGGAAAATGGCGGAGAATGTAGAAGTTAGCCACAGATAAAGGCTTTTGGCCACGGATAAAGGCTTTCGGCATAGAAGGTTACGGCATAATAAGCTGTGAGATTTGGATGGGACAAAGCACAAAAATGGCTTTAATTTCTATTTTAATAATGTTGTTTTTTTACAATGAATTCTTTTATTTCTAAGACAAGTTGTGTGAGCTACGCAGTTCTACTTGATTTGTCAAATCTGGTACATTGGTATGGACGCTCGCACCTGCACTTTGTCTCCCCCTGCGCATCTGCATTCCGCGCCCGCCTACGCGGGGCCTGCGCCACCCGACTGCACGTGGGGAGTCCCTTCTCGTGCCCCCTCCGCTTCTCACGCGTATGCACGCGGCCAGTAGCTACATCATATGACTACAGCAGGTGGCTACGCCAGCATTCAGAAGAAGGGGAGGGGGCAGCGAATGCCCAGCTGACGCCGGGAGGAGGAGGAGACACCGAGGTGAACGTGAGGCAGCAGAAAAGCGAAGACAGAGATGCAACACCCAATCTACTTTGAAACATCTAGATACAACACTTGCAACATACGTCTGAAGGCAGACAAACACATGAAACATTAGCTGCAACATCAAATCTACTTTTGAAACACCCAGATGAAATACTTGCAACATACATACGAAATAGCTGAAACACTCGAAATATGTGTATGAAACACTTGCAAAAAACACCTGAAAACACTCTTCATACGTGTGATAACATGTGCAACATCCATATGAAACACTTGCAAACATACGTCTGAAAAACTAGATGAAACATTTGGAACATACACTTGAAACATACGTGTGTAGCCACTGCAACATGTGCAAAATTCTGATCTACTTTTGCAACATCGAGATGAAACACTTGAAACATCCAGATGAAGCATCTGAACCACTTGAAATATACTCTTGCAACATGGGCTTTGCTTGGACAAATGGAGGCACGTTGGCGCGGAGGTCGAGGGCGGCGCATGGACCTCGCTGTGCGGTAGCGGCACAAGCAACTCGCCGGCGGGCGTGGCATCACATGAATCGCGCCCCCTCGCCTGCTTGCTAGAGCATCCGTCGTGGAGGCTAGCTGTCTCGGCGGAGGCGGTTGCGGCTTGCCAGCTCAGTGGAGGCAGTCGTAGAGGCTAGCTAGCTCGGCGAGGCAGACCGGGCCCAGTGGGGAATGCGGCGCGACAGGGGCGTGGCGCTGCGGGGGACCGGCGGCGGCGATGCGGAGTGGGGTGGGCGGATGGGCACGGCGACGCAGGGAGGAAATTGCATAGCGAGCATCGGGGCGCGTGGACAGGATGAACGGATAGGGTCGCTGGGCAAGCGGCGCATGCTGGAGTGAGCAGAGGGAGGCGTCCGTCCATCCGGACGTCTTAATTGTATCATTATATTGATTTAATATTTGTGATAACATTTGATTAATTAGGACCACATCATGCTCATTTACCGTGGCAGTGGCACATCTTGTATTTCTGTCCCCGCCAATGTATCCATGACTGTCTTGATAAGTATCACGTTAATTACGTCTGTTTGGGATTGATCTTTACATGTCTTTAATAAGATCTAAAAAAACCATGTTCGCTTGAGCTACTTTTTCAGCCATAGAATAGTGTTTTTCTCTCACAATATTTCAGCATAAGCCAAATTTCAGCATAAACGATGGCTTATGCTGAAATTTGGCTTATGCTGATGCTTACGCTGAATGTTGTGAGAGGAAAATACTATTCCATAGCTGAAAAGTAGCTCAAGCGAAGAGGGTGCTGGTTTTGTAACCTTTCCAAAAACTATCGGGTATGAAAAAATACACTCACTAATAGTTCTATTTTATTTGTTTGTTCCTAGTCAGTTAGGGTATTACATTGTAGGGAGAAACTGCATGCTACTGCAACACTGCAACTTTACAACTGCAGCACGGCTAGTTTGATAGTACCTTGCATGCATGCATATGATAGTGTCCACCACTGCATTCTTGGTGCATTGTTCTCAACTTACTACTACAGCAGGATCAGAAGCGCAACTACAATATGACTTCACTAACAAGTAGCTTGCATTGTCAGTTCTAGTATTCACTTTCCACATGGGGTCGGGCTGAGCTTCAGTTCACTCCTGCACAAAGGGCATTCCTGATACCCCGTGAGAAGGTGCTGCTCCAAGCACCCGCTGTGGAAGATGTGCGAGCACCGGGGCCACGCCGCCAGGCCTCCGCCTTCCTTGAGCACCTCGCAGCAGATCGGGCAGTCTTCACCGGTGACCCTCCTCCGCTTCGTTGGCCGCACGTCGTCCTCCGACCTGAGGAGCGCGGGCAGGTGGAGCTCCGTGGCGATGTCAAACTCAAAAGGCGTGGGCAGCGCCACCGCCCCGTGATCGCCAGCCACGGACTCCAGCGCTTCGCACATGCGCATCATGCGCGCCGGCGTGAAGTCGCCGGGCCGGAGTATGCCCACGTCGACGGTCACCAAGAGACACGTGGCCCGTGCCGGGACGAGGACCGGCACCGTCGTGACCGACCACAGTGTCTGGAGCTGCGCGCTGAAGCGGGCGGGGTAGACCAGCGACGCCAGCACGGCGCCGGCGAATCGCAGCGAGCTGCTCACCGTCGTCGTCACCGGATCGGAGGCGGAGGCCAAAGGAGAGGGGAGGACGAAACGGAGACGTGCTTGTTTGGGGCCCAGGATGTGCATGTCGACGCCGTCGCCGTCGCCTCCGCCGCTCTGCGTCCGCAAGAAGCGGGTGTAGCGGTAGTCGACGATGATTTCGCCGCCGCAGCCGTGATGACACTGACACTGACAGAGTGGCGCCGAGGAAGTGGTGAGCTTCATGAAGCAAACCGTGCTCTGCACGGTGGCGATCCGCGCCGGCTGCCCAAGGAACTTGCATGTCGCCGCCGCCACGTCGCCGTTCTTGACCTTCGGCACCTCGTCGTCCTCTTCAAACTCGCTGTCCATATCGACGTCCTCGTCGTCAGTGTCGTCGTCCTCGTCGTCGCTGCTGAAGTAGTGGTCCTCGTCGCTCAGATCGTCCTCTTCGTCGCCGAGAACCGCGCCTTCGTTGCCCCTTTCGTCTTCTGATGTGGGCGGCGGATCAACAACGCCGCCGTCAAAAACGTCGTCGCCAACAAGCACATATGACCCAACCACAGCGGGCTCTTCCGCAGACGCGGTAATCTCGATGCCCTGCATGGCCATGTGCGCCACGCACAATCGTCTGGCTGCTCCTGGCTTCCCGGTGACCCGGTGTCGCCTCGCCTCGCCCCGGCCGCCTCAGCTCTCCGGGAAGGCTGTATGCAGGAACGGAATGATGAAGAGAGAGTTTAGATGCAATCGGCAACTGGAAATAACGACAGGCATACCGCATATTTATGGTGCTCGTTGGTCCGGGGCCGGATCGGAGGATGGCTGATGTTTGAGTCCGATACCGGGCCTCCTCTTGCATCGTTTCGGAGTAGCTCCACTAGGACTCCGATTTATCACTTATTGGCCACCGACATTTTTGTTTTGTCTTGGGCAAAGCTCTTTATGTGCAGTTCTTTTTTTTCTTAAGGAGTGGCACAATTTTAAATTACATGTTAAGCGTGTGCACCGTGAGAAAAAAATAGCCTGATTTGAATTTTTTTTACCTAGTTAGAGCATATTCGAGAGACTCTTTATATCTTTGGAAATGCTTAGCCACGAGCGTTCGTCCCGTTAGACGTGGCTCCTAGTCCTGCCTCCTGCACAGCAGACCAACCTCTCAAAAAAAAAAAATTCCCCACTCCGCTCATCCGCCCGTCACGGCATGGCTGAGCATTTCCAGGCCGCTCATCCGTTTGCCCCACTGCGCCCCCTTCCCCCACCACGCCCTGTCCCCCGTTGCGGTGTCGCGCCGTGCCCTTCCCCCCGCTGCGCCGCACCCAATCGCTGGCTGCGCCGTGCCCATTCCCTACAAGCGGACGGGGTTGGACGACTGCGGTCGAGCGAGCAGTGGTGCTAGAGTAGCAGCAACAGGGCCATGCCGACAGGCGCGAGCCTGGGCCGCAAGCAGGCGTTGGAGAATTGTAGGAGGGCCACGCTGCTGCTACACCGGCGAGCTCCATGTGCCGCCGTCGACCTCCGTGCTGGCGTCGAGCTCCGCAAGCGTCCATTCGTCCAAGGAATGTGACATTGTGCTGAAAGCGCATGTTGCATGTTTCAAGTGTTTTAGATGTTTCAAAGGTATGTTGCAAGTGTTGCACGTAGATGTTACAAAAGTAGATCAGGATGATGCATATATTGCAATGGTTATACATGTATGTTGCAAGCTTCTGTTCCCAATGTTTTATCTGTTTTTTCCAGACGTATGTTGCAAGTGTGTTTATTTGGATGTTGCATATGTTTCACACATATGTTGCAAGTGTTTTATCTTGATGTTTTGTATGTTTTACAACGGTTTTCAAATGTTTTTCATGTGTTTTTGCAAATGTTTTAGATGCATGTTTCAAATGTTTCATCTATCCTCAAACGTATGTTGCAATTGTTGCATCTAGATGTTTCAAAAGTAGATCGGGTGTTGCATCTCCCTCCTCGCTTTCTGTTGCTTCACCTCGGTGTCTCCTCCTCTTGGCGCCGGCTGGGCATCCGCTGCCCCCTCTTCTCGATGCTAGTGGCGTTCAGGGTGGCGCGGGCCCTGCGTGGGCGCGTTATACGGTGTGGGAAACGGCTGCAGGCGTGGGGCGTACGTCAGACGCCTTGTCCGTCCGGACGTCCGGGTGCTAGCAAACCCGTTATATCTTTTCTAATTTATAGGAATAGAGATTTTGGTGAAAAAACAACCTCTAATAGCTGCTTCAATTGGATCACTACCTCAGATCTGTACATCACTGTCGGTTCAAAAACCCACTTCACTGCCGGATTTTGAACCGACAGTGGCATACCGACAGTGATAGGGGGTTGACATCACTGCCGGTCCTTAAAAACCGATACTGATCTACAGGAAATAGTGTCAGTTCCTGGCTCCACCCGGCAGTGTCTAGTTGAACAACATTGCCGGTTTGTAGTGCCAACCGACAGTGACGGTTGCTTCAAGAGTGTCGGTTCTTGGCTCAAGCCAGCAGTGTTGAGCAAGCCTACACTGTCGGTTCATGGATCAAACCGACACTGTTATAGTAAATATCAGTGTCGGTTTATGGATCAAACCGGCAGTGTTCTCATAATTATTATCAGTGTCGGTTCATGGTTCAAGCCAGCAGTGTTGAGCAAGCCAACACTGTCGGTTTCCTTCTAACCGGCAGTGATGGTTACGACAACACTGCCGGTTTGTTGCTAACCGGTGGTGATGGCCCATTCGTATTTTATTGTTTTATAATTTATTTTAATTTATATTTTTTGTGGAATCGGGTTTCGCTTTATATACGCTACGTAGACGACAGGTCCATCAATATTAAACATTACAAATGTTACGATTACAATTCAAATGTTCTTATCCACATCTTCATCCCTCAAAATAAAAAAGAAATGTTCTTGGACTTCACACATGCTTCTCGGACTTTCTACAATAATCTGGCGAGCCGCTCTGGGCCATACTAGTCCTTGTACTTCACAGATTGTGCAATGAAAAATACTCCATCTTTTTCTAATACCTCGGCTAAGATCAATTTTGCCAGCTCCGATTGTAGTGCGACGATCTCCATGTCTAGCAGCCTTTCGTGCTTATATTTCTTGCACTGTCGTTCAAAAAAGATGATATCCAAAGAGGAACAGTAAATCATTTTGTTGAATTATTAACAGACATAAATGAAATAGAGATTATACACACCAACTTATCGGCTTCTTTCGATTTCCCGCCGATGTAGCGAAGCATTGCCCACATTACATAAAACCCGCATTCATTGTTTCTCGTCGGCTGTGATAGGTACTTCCCCTCCATTTCGACAACCTTGAATGGGACCGGCGTCCCACCGATATGTCTTCTTCGAACACTGAGCAACATTAAAAGGAGAAACATTAGAAAGCGGTATGTGTGATTGGAAAATAATAGTTATTAGGATCGCTTACTAATTCAGCACTGCCACCAGTGCATCCAGATGATGAAATAGTTTTTCTTCGAGTCCCACACCTCGAGTAGTTTTTTTGCAAGATTAACACAAATGAAGACGAAATGGTTGCTGCAATCACAGAATCCTAATTATTGAATAATCTTAACGAAAAAAGAAGCATAAAATTAAAAGCCGAGAACATATACTCGCAGTTGTAGGCTAGAAGTATGTGGGTTTTCTTCTTCATCGTGAATTCGTCGAAAACAGCAATCAATCTCTATTTCAGGTCTTCCACGTCATATCCATAGAGGCCTAGACATGTCCTCTCATTGACTCGCATGGGTCCAAGAAGCCTATGTAATCCCATTTGCTTTTTAGAATGCAAAATTTTGTTATACACCTACATAAAATCATGGGAAGTGCTCAAAAGTTAACAATTTGTGTCTCGAGAGAGTAGTTAATTGTAATATCGTGCGTGTAGTTAATTCCACAGTGTCAACATTTGAATATCGAGAGAGCGTTTCTGGTATAGCTGGAACAAGCACTACCACTCGACATCGAACTTCTCTTCTTCAAGATATTGGAAAACATGTGGTGAACGGATAATAACCTCAAAACCAAAGTTGTCTGTCTTTGTTGCTTGAGCCATGTAATATTCATGTAACTAGCGCATATATGTTGTTAGATTTTTATACTCATGATCGGGAACCAAAAGATTATCCCTTTCATACTTTATTGCCGGTGTTCCCGTCCCTTGTACATCATAATAGATGTTCGCAGCCTCTTCTATGGTTAAATCAAGGTTGTCTTCGACTAACTTCATAATGTTCCTTAAATCTTTATTGTGTATTTCTTCATCTCTTGTTGTAGCGTATTTATTTTGTGTTTGCCTTTCGAATTTGGACTTCAACAAAAATGGAGGTAGTGAGGCACATAGATTGAAGAAACTAACACAATCTTCCTTCGAGATGTGTGCTGTAAATTTGTCTTTCATCAAGGTGGTAACGCTGCCACTCAACGGCCTTTTTGTTTTATGTTGGTCCACTTTGGGAGTATTAGCGACCGAATCCAAGGATCTTTTCTGCGACTGCGAGGATGTCCTTAATCTTGTTTTGGGCTGAGGTGGAGGAGGAGGATGACGATGAGAATTCTGTTTTCCCAACGCTGATGAAGATGGAGGAGGAGGAGGAGGAGTCTCTTTTCTCGGGGCTGATGAAGATGGAGTCGGACGAGGAGGAATAGAAGGAGACCTCTGTCTTCTCGGGGGTGATGGCTCCGGATGAGGAGGGGAGTGATCTTTGTTGGGAGATGGTGAATGATCATCGCGGGTGGGCAAAGACTCACAGTCGTCCTCATCATTAGAGGACAATTGATGGTCAAGCTTAATGAAGCGCTTGCGCCAGGCGACTTGAGAGCCCTTGTTTTGACCAAGTTTCGGCCTGTCTTCCGCTACGAGGTACTCAATGGGTATCTTGTTATACTTCTTATCAAGTATTCTGTCAATGGTGACGCGAGCATACCCCAGTGGAATTGGCGGCCATTAATTGTCCTGTCTCCCACAGGCCAGGCCTGGCCGAGCGCCACCTTGTCCTTTGTCCATTCCTGACGGATGTACAACCTGACATTGATGGGTTCAGTGATGTCGTCCACCGAATGAGGCACATTCGCCTCTTCTTCGTCGAGCGGGGTCGATCCGCAGCTACTATGACCCCTAAACTGTGGGCTAAAGGCACTAGGAGTAGGGTTTTATGGTACTACTGACCCCTTGGATAGCAAAATTTGCTCGACTCGTGCTTCAACGGTTGCCTCAATCCATGCTTCCATTCTATCTTCCATCTCTTTTAGTCTCCTCAAATACTCTGCCTCATGTTCCGCTCTACCCCTCGAGCGGCTCTGGTAAGTGTTAGATTCTTGGGAGAATGCTAGTTTCCAAGGAACAACACCGGTTCCTCTAGTGCGACCAGGGTGCTCCTTGGTTCCGAGTGCTTGGGTGAGCACATCTTTCTCCCTATTAGAAGTGCAAGTCCCTTGCCTCACCTCCTCAGTTACCTAGGAGATCCTCTGGATGAGTTCGCTCATGGGTTGATTTGAGGAGCTAAAGCTCCCATCCTCGGCGTGCCATACATTTCTCCCCATACAGTATAATACCGATCTAGGCTCCCAATCGGCGGTCTCAACCTGAACGCCTTCCTCAGC